TGGAATGTATGAACCAAATTCTTGAAAAATCTCAGAATTAACCAAACTGCATAACTGTTAGATCAGTACAGGATGTCTTAACATTTGTTATGACAACATAAATCCTGTTTATTGATTTTGGTAGAAAGTAATAAATGTGATCTTTGCAAAATGCTCAGATACACACTCATAAATAGCAGCTACTGTATGCCATTCTTTTCTGCATAAAGTACCTAATAACCCAGAATGTTATGACATTAGTCATGACATTCACACATCTGGTTTTACCAAAAATACATGCCAATAACTAAACACTTACACTCATTTGCATAAATGATGAGGTATGTTGAAAAACATATGAACCTTTGAGTATTTAAAATTTTTATGACCATTTAACGTATATTTTTTTTATGATAATGTTAGACTCCTACAAAATCCAAATCAAAAGATAAGGGGATTACACGGAAAACCGAGTCAGTTGCATCCACAAAAGAGGTACTCGTAATATACCTATGGAGGAAGGTATTTTTGGTTTTTCCTATTACAAAACAATTAGTAAAGAGGACATGGATCAATTTTTTGGACGTTTAGAACTAGGCCTCGGTGTTATCGATACATACATTAGGTATACTCCAATCAACTTCATTTAAATAATTGAATAATTTATTTACTCATTTCAACAGTCTTAATGTTAATGATATTTTTATTTAAGGTTCATGTATGACAACTTGATGCGTCTGTATCAATTGGAACAAAGATTCTGTTTCTTATCTCCCAACAATATCAACTCACGATTAATCGATCAAATACCAGATAAATTCAAAGAGTAATTTTTTTATGCATTTATGGCCAACAAAGATACAGAAAAGCTGTTTTTTTACCATTTAATACTGACAATGGGTTAGATTTTCATTCTAACTTCATTTATTATAATTTTTCGTGTTTTGACGTTGTGTAGAAAGTTTCTATCTAATCTTTGTTAATCTTACAGTTGACATTGATTGTTGGTTGCGATTAATCCTATAAGAGAAATTGTATATTATCTAGATTCGTTAGAAGGTGATTGGATAAAATATCCAGATATGAAGAAGATGGTTGATACGTAAGTTAGATTGTTCTAAATATTCGTTTGCATATTTATTTATTTATGTGAAATTGTTCTAAATATTCGTTTATATTTTGTTAGAGTCATACAATTTTTTTGATCACAATGAATACTTAAGTACCAAAGAGTAAAGCAATCAACATTACATGGATCAGAGTGCATGTATATTTTCACAATTTTGATTATATTAGTGACGCTACTTAATAAAACAAGTTAAACTATATATCCTGATATATATTCGTAATTTTTCCATGTGTAGTGTCCTCGTCAGCGTAATGGTATAGATTGCGGTTATTTCATGTTGAGGTTTATGAAAGAAATTATTCTTTTGAATAAAATAGAGATTTCAACCATTGTATGGGTTTCTAACTTATGATTTATTTTAATATTTAACACATTTCATCTAATTAATTAGTTTTAACTAAATCATATCATATTATATTACTTAGTACTTTGATGAATTCAAGTCTTCTACTTACTCGATAGATCAATTGAATGAAATTAAGGAGGATTGGTGTCAATACATTATTGAGATGAGAATTTTATAAAGTATTGTGACACTTTCATTGATGATAATTTTGAGTTTTGATGAGATACTATATCGTCATTAGTGTGGTAAATTGTATTGCAATGTTGTTGTTATTATGTGGAAGATTACTTATGATGGTATTTGAGTTAAATTCAAATAAATTTTTGTTTGTATCATGGTATGAATTGAGGAATTTTTAATGGTGCGTTATAATGGATTTTTGATTTATTTTTGTTACATTGGTTTGTGTTAAATTATAATAGTTATAAGATTTGAGTGTTATATAACTTAGTTCTGATATGTCTTTATTGATTTTGTTTCAGGTAGGTGCATATGTAGAAGATATAGAGATAATAACAAGTTCATTTAGGATTCTTCATTGTTGTTGTTTATAGAGAAGATAACAGCTTTAGAAGATATATATATATATATATATATATATATATATATATATATATATATATATATATATATATATATATATATATATATATATATATATATATATATATATATATATATATATATATATATATATATATATATATATATATATATATATATATATATATATATATATATATATATATATATATATATATATATATATATATATATATATATATATATATATATATATATATATATATATATAATGTATATATTCAAGTTGTATCAAATTTATGTATATATAAATTATTGGATTAAAGTTGTATATATAAATATGTAAATTTGGTGCATATTTATTGGATTGAAGCTGCAAATTTATGAAATCTGGTGCAAATTTGAAAGACAACGCTTATTTTAAGTGATTATTTGTAGAGAGCGCTTAAAATATAAGTTGTATAAATTAAAAAGTTCGTGAATATTAGACAACACTTTAAACAAAAAAGCGTTGCCTATAGTGGGAATAGAAAACGATTTTAAAGTAAATGCTGCCTAAAGGGGTGCATTAGAAAGCACTTCTAAAGTAAAAAGTGCTGCCTAAAAGAGACTTTAGAGGGCGCTTTTAAAGAAAGCGCTGCCTAAAACAGAAAAAAAGTGAATTATAATATACGTTACACAACGGTTTTAAAAGCGCTGTCTAAAAGGGTGTATTAGAAAGTGGTTATAATGTAAAAAGCGCTATCTATAGGGGCCTTTAGAGAGCACTTATAGAATAAAGTGTTGTCTAAAGACTACATTAGGCAGTGCTTTTACATTGACAAAAAATGCTGTCTTTACTTACAACAGCGCAAGAATAGGCAGCGCTTCAAAGCGTTGTCTATGACAAAAAAAGTGTTGTCTATTACCTTATATGGCGTAGTATTTATCCACCGAAAGTCTTGTGTAAAAGTAATTCGATTTTGGTTTATATTTTTGCAAAATTGATAAAAACATTTTTTTTTGGATTAGTTCCAATGCACCGAGGATGTGAACGTAGAACTATTTCTCGCGGAGAAGTAAGACGATGAGTGCTACCAAAGCTAGATGTATATGAAGAGCAGATAGATACTCTTGAAGAGCAGCCATTTCAATATTCCAGTGGATCGTACGACACATCTCTTCTCGTACGAATCAAGTTCCATCCATAGAGTGTCAATCTCCTCTTGCATATCATTCAAACCATATTGCTTTCATCTTGCTTGAACATTTTTTATTAATGTGATATAGACAAAGAAAATTAATCGTATTTGGAAACACAACTTCAATTGCTTTCATTAAAGCAAGATCTTTATCACTCATAATCACTTGTGGTCTAGTCCTTTCCTTCCTAAAATAATTGTTTCAATTTATCCAATATCCAACAAAAGTTCTTTGTCTTTCTGATTCCATATAAGAAAATGCAACAACAAATATCAACTTAGTTGAAGTCATACCAGAAATTTCAAACAAAGGTTGTCTATACTTGTTTGTCTTGTATCTGTTGTCCATAATCAACATAGTAGGAAAAATATTCAACAACTTCACTAAATCTAGGTGTGTCCAAAATATATCTCTTATAACATCTGTTACATCTCTGCTTCTACTCCAGTAAATATAATTTGCATCATCCATCATATTAAAGAGATGTTGTATCTTAGTTCGAGGACCTCTTATCTCTTTTTGTAATTTACTCTTATATTTATATATTTGTGTGATATGAGTAGCATTCTTCGGACCCTGCTCTTGTAATGAAACCAGAATGTGTTTGATTGGAACATGATGTTTTGTCAAGTCAACAACATGATGCCTCTCATCTCAACTTAGACGATCAATAAACGAGTGACCTTATAATCTACCGGGTAAACTTTGGTTATCAAGTTATCATTTCTTTTCATATACTAAATTTTTCTACAATTGAAAATACTTTAGTGGTATTTATATGTATCTGATTTTTTTTGCATATCTGTAAAGAGATTTTCATATCAATGAAACATAAAAAAAAAATCAATTTTTTTTTATATAAGTTATCTGATGAACATTATAAAAACTATTAGAAAACTTATAATCAAATTATGCAATAAAGATTATAATATTATATAAGTTTTATATAAGTTATCAGTTGAACATATAATATTACTAGAATACTTGATTGCAAGTCATCGATGAAGGAAAATTACATATCATAATTCTTTACGTAAATTTATCCGGTAATGGTGCAGGGATGTTAAATACTTCAGTTAAAAAAAAAACAAATTGAATAGTTAAATTATTTGATAGATAAAGAAATATAATTAAAATATTTTGAAAAATGTAAGGATGGATGAGGTAAAATTATGATGGTCCACAACTCTCAAAGTACAAAACTATTGGAAATGAAGTACTTAAATCAATGTTTTGCCTCTTTAAAAATAAATCTCTCCTAAAAGATTGATTTGCATTATTTGTAAAAAAAAAAAAAAACTATCTACATTTATCTATTTTTTGAAATGTTGTCATTTGGTTAACGCGCTTAAACTAAGGTCAGATTGTTTGGACAGTCAAGTTGGATTAAAGAAATCAATGCATTTTACATTTTTCTTATAACTTATATTTTACACAATATCTCGTTTGCATAATCACCCGATAGGAGTATTTTCCAAAAGTCAATGGGAATAGCAAGAGTCAACTCTTGACTCGCTCTTTTCCAAAAATGTTTGATCTAATCTAATTATGTAAGGATTACATACAGTCATCAACTTCTTGACTTTGTAAACTACAAGTTGAAATATAGAATGGGACAAAAATATAGGGTGCATCATCTATGAAAGCAAAATATCTAATAAAAATGTTGAGCCATTTTGTCAAGAAACATAAAAAAGTCTAAGATATTGAAGGCCATAACACTATATAAAGAGTTACAATCCATATACTTTAAGCATTCATAACAACAAATCTTCTAAATAGCAAATAAAAGATATATTAGGTTGCTTACTAAGAGAGAACATGGAAAGCTCAATTGGAGCGAGGCAATGGCCTCGACTCATATATACAATAGCACTTTGCTTAATTGCTTTTACTACTTTTGCTATTGCTGATGATGATAAGCCTTACTATGGAGGCCAATATCCATACAACAACTATCCTCAACCACCTTACACTTACAAACCACCTCCATATAATACCTATCAATCTCCACCCCCATATGCTTATAAATTCCCTCCATATAACAATTATCAATCTCCACCACCTTATGAAAACAAATTTCCTCCATATAATTATCAATCTCCTCCTCCATATGATAATAAATTTCCTCCATATTACTATAAATCTCCACCATCTCCTTATTTCGACAAATTCCCTCCATATAACTATAAATCTCCACCTCTACCATCACCATCACCACCACCTCCTTATGTCGATAAATTTCCACCCTATTATTACAAATCTCCTCTTCTACCATCTCCATCACCACCACCTCCTTATCTCTACAAATCACCACCCCCTCCACCATATATTTACAAGTCTCCTCCTCCACCATCACCTCCTCCACCATACGTCTATAACAGTCCACCTCCTCCATATGTTTACCCATCACCACCTCCCCCACCTTATGTTTACAAATCTCCTCCTCCACCGTCTCCATCACCACCCCCTCCATATATTTACAAATTTCCACCTCCTCCATCTCCTTCTCCACCACCTCCATATGTATATATTAGTCCACCACCTCCATATATTTACAATTCACCACCACCCCCTTCACCACCCCCTCCATATGTCTATAAGTCACCACCTCCTCCACCATACGTATACAATAGTCCACCTCCACCCTCACCACCACCTCCATATGTCTACAAATCTCCTCCACCACCATACCCCTCTCCTCCTCCACCATATGTGTATAAGTCACCACCACTTCCATCTCCTTCACCACCTCCTCCATACGTATATAAGTCTTTACCCCCTCCATATGTTTATGAGTCTCCACCATATATCTATAAACCCCCAACACTACCTCCATATGTTTATAAATCTCCTCCTTCATCCTACATCTATGCACCCCCATCACGTCCATCTTATTCAGCACCTCCTCCATACATTTACAAATCTCCACCTACACCTTATAATCCTTACCTATATAGTTCCCCTCCACCACCTGTGTACTAAACTTGATATGCATTTTTATGTTTACTTGCAATAATTTTACGTTGATAAAAATCGTGTGGTTCGTAATAAATACTCATTTGTAATAAACGTTTAAAGTGTTATAAAGTACATGTTTTGGATTCTATGTTCTATGCTTCTATATTAATCTAGATGTTTGTTTTAATTTTTTTTTCAAATATTATATAATATCTATAGTTTTATTTTTTAAAAGAAGAAAATTATTAGATAATAAAGAAATACAAAGACTACTCTGTAAAAATAATCATTTCAAAATACATTCACTATAGCTCCACTAAAACAAGTGTATTTCTCTCTACTTATTATTACATACACCATACCAACTCTATATTCCCACAAAGACTATATATATATATATATATATATATATATATATATATATATATATATATATATATATATATATAATATATATATATATATAATATATATATATATATATATATATATATATATATATATATATATATATATATATATATATATATATATATATATATATATATATATATATATATATATATATATATATATATATATATTAGGGACGAATTCGGACATTAGTGGGGTTAAATATAAAAGAAAGTATGAATTAAACTATATTGAATTTTAAAAAAAATAGATATATAATGAAAATTGTCTGCCAAATATGAGGGAATAACAAATATGAAAGTGAGAAAGAAACTTGAGAGGTAGTGACAGTGTTTAAAAAATCAGACTGGATCGGCTAGTTAAAATTAGGAGCTAGAATGATCATCGGTCTGATTTGATTGTGGGATCAGATAAGCTATTAAACAAGTGAGAGTCGTCCAGAACCGACCAAAATCAGTATAAACCGATCAAATGGAGATTTTAGAAAACTGATGGATTAAATACTTATTTTTTTCCTCAGGCAAAACAATGTTGTTTTGATAATTTTTAAATAAAATAAAATTAAAATATAAGTAGATTTTGCTCAAAACTTATTTTGAATAACTTTTCTTTTTTGAAATTAAATTTATTAGACACTACACTTATTTTGTTATTCAGTTTATGTTTCAACTAAACATTGTTTAAAATTTATTCTAATTTGTATTTTGTACTATTTTGTTGTGTGTGATGATCATATTTGAAATTTAAATTTAAAGAATAAACTTGTAAAATTATGATATTTTTAAATTTTGAAATATGGCAGGTGTCATGATTTTTTTAGGGATCAAGTCATCTGAGTTGATCGATTTAATAACTATATAATTTTGTTACAATGACCGATTTATTCAATAGAGTTATCCGATTTATTCAACTGAATAATCTTATTTAATTTGATTTAGTCATGCAGTTTGACTAGTAATTCAGTTATTCAACCTATAAACCAATAACCCATCTTCATCAATTTAATGATCGATTCAATTTTTAAAACATTTGGAAAAGAAAAAAATGAGAAATTAATATATATATATATATATATATATATATATATATATATATATATATATATATATATATATATATATATATATATATATATATATATATATATATATATATATATATATATATATATATATATATATATATATATATATATATATATATATATATATATATATTTTTAATTCTTATGTCGTTTCTTTGGCCTTTTGGTTATTTATTTAGATATGAAATGTCTTATATGTCACATTTGTGTTCATATACTATGGGATAATAGGGGAGATAATTGTGTAGATCTGAAAAATATTTATTGAAAATAAAACTATTGATAAAATCAGAGTTTAAAAATATTTGTTAAAACTAACAAGTAAATATGCAACAGAATAAAGGATACATGGAAAATCAAAGGAAAGAAAATAATTGAAAGTAAAAGAGATAAGAGAGAAAGAAAGACACAAGAGATTTATACAAGTTTTTTACCTTTCCTATCCCAATAATTCTTCTTGAGAGTATCAACTATTTTGAGAGTTTTCACTAAGATATGCCCATGAATCTCTTTTTATAAGGATTTGAAGTTTTAATCTAAATTCCAACCAAATAACAAACAAAGCTTATCCTTTAAGTAGTATGAGGTGGAGCCTCCGATTGTACGAGATCTTTTGGATGTCATTGATGATGATAGAGAAAAATGAAAAGCATTTATTCTCTAATTCTCTCAAAGGAACACGCGGGAGAAGACATGAGAAGGAATACCTTTAAATAGCCAAAAATATTTGATTATAAGGGCCTAAAAATCGATTATCCCATTAATAAAATCAGTTGGAATTTGAGAAAGTGGGTGACTTGATGTTTCCAATGCTATATCGATTATATATTTAGAGAAAATCGATTAGAGAGTGCAAAATTTAAAATCAAATGCTTCTAATCGATTATTCCATTAGTCGTAATCGATTATTTGTTGCTTTTTTAGCATCCTTGGCCTTTTGGGCTTTGAACTCACATTGGATTTTGGCACCCTTTTCTTCATTTTGTTGCATCATTTTCTCTAAAAATATGCAAAACTCTAATAAGTATTAGTAAAAATAATTTTTAATTGACTGCACAATTTATAAATCATTTAATTAGAGGGTTAATTTGAGTTTTCCAATTTTTCAATCTCTAAAAAGTGTACTCACTATGACAAATAATGCACATTTCATAATAAATCTTTCACTTCAGCCATTGAAAATTTGAGGTCAAATGACCTGGAACACGCCATATTTTATCTTGTATCTTAGTTTTACATAAAACCGACATAAAATGTTGCTAAAGGTTTGAGCTTCGATTCTCAGCTTCTGCAATTTTTTTTATATTTAGAATCCAATAGGCTCCTTTAATTTGCAAATCATCTTATCCCTAGAAAAAATTCAAGACAAACGCAGTTTATTTTTTTATTTGTAAATCAAATTATCTAATTCCTCAATTTCTCTAATAACTAAGGGAATATATAATCAGATTTTACTATAAAAGTACTCGTTAATAAATTTTTACCATAAATCTAATTTATATGTAGCGGCTCTAAAATCGTACACATCATTCTTTTTGATGGATTACAAGCCATACATTTTTTTACCATCTTGAACAAAATATTTTTGTTGCCCTTGTAATCTATTCCACATAATGATGTTGATGTTGTTGTTTTGAAATACAACAAAATTTGCTCAAGATATTGCAAACACTATATATCTTGTTCTCTTTCTTGTGAAAGTATTTTCCATAAAAACATTTGGTCAAGATTTTGCCAACACTATATATCTTTTGGATAGATTGCAATGGCAGAATAACATTTTTCAATGGTTGGAATAAATAACTTATCTGAAGTTGGATGCATGCAATCCATTGAACTTTAAACAAAGGATATGCAACAAAATCTGGATAACAACAAAGATTTGTTTTTCTCCAAGAATAACAGCGGCGATGATGAATCTGGATTTGTGGTAAAAAAATGTAATGTAATATTATGTGAAAACAATGTCATTTTTAAAAAATAAAATAAAAGCTTATTCACCTCAGTTTTCACTTGAAACCGGGGTATGTGAAAATAAATTTTTTTACCTCGATTTTTGTCACAATTGAGGGAATATTTAAGCATGTTTATTGAGAATATTCACCATCCTTAAACAAATATTTGATGTTCATTTTATGAATATCAACGTTCTAGACACTACCATTAATAATCCGCGTGAAACCTAACAAATATTCATTATAAAAGCATTTTGAATATAAAAAATTGTTAATGAAACATTTGACATAAAAACTTTGAAGCATAAAGAAGCTTGATAAAGTTCTCTATGATGAATTGCAAGAGTAGAAAAACTTTGTGTTTAAGGTTTTTGATCTTCAATAATCATATAACTGTTCATGTATTTTATTTATCTAACCTTTTTTTTTTATATTTTATATCAGAAACAAATGAATGTAAAAGCCATCAAGAATATATTACACCCAACATTTTGTATTCCTAAAGATTTTAATGAAAAAAGTATTCATCATTTGTTATTCACTGACAGTGATAATGATGAATCATATTGAAAATTTGCTTTATATTTTTACTTTAATATTCTGCATAAATATTGTAATATTATGTGTAAACAATGTAGTTTCTAAACAAATTAATTTATTGGTATTCTGTGTAAACAATGTAATGAGTATTTTAAAAAAAGTATTTATTTTCCCCTTGATTTTGGTCATAAAGCGAGAGGTATGTGGCACTAGTTTTGCCGAGGATCGAACCCTTAGACAGATAACTTTACCCCTCAATTTTTAAATAACCGAGGGGCAAAGTAGAAACTTTTCATGATGCCCTTCGTTACCTTGCTTCTATCGCCGAGGTAAATCCATTTTGCGTTCGAGGTTAAATGTGTTTTTTTTGTAGTAGTGTCCACCTTAAACCTCTTGTTAACTTAAGAAAATTTCCCTTTTCGAGGGACCGAAAAACCATTGTCTTGAATCATTCTCTACGAATCATATCATAAGAGAGTTGGTTAAAACCACAAGAGTGACAAGTCCATTACAGTTTTATCATATCACCTTACTAAGAGGTTACATAATCATCATATATCATCATAATAGTTGAGAAATACCCTCAATGAGAATACCTTGATCACATCCGTTAAAATACACCATCAACAACCATACTTTGATCAGAAGCATCGAGATCATCAAACACCATCAGACATGACCTTCTATTGTATAATCAAAGGTATACATATTGATTTACACAACTTCATTTAATTTGTACTAAGGCTTCATTGAAGTTGCAAAGCATTTCTGCAAAAACTAAATCAAGTTTCCACATTTGGTACCCAAATCTTTTTGGATCTTACAGTGTTAGTAGCTCTAAGAGGTCTGTAGTTATTACCTTTAGACGTTCTTAGTTTATCATGGAAAAACGGATCTACGTGACCATGCTTATTACTGAAAGAAAATTAATAGATAGGGTGATTTGATTTTTTATCTATTAAAGCCTTTATTGTTTGATCTACTTGAATTAAAACCTAATCCTATTTTATTTAAGGAAGACCTTTTATTTG